GTTTACTAGTAGTTCCAAATTGTCACCTTCTGCTCGACAACCCTTTTGTGAGTTTCAGTAGCAGCACCCGCTCTGTCCGAATCACTTCCATCCAGATTTCGAACACCGAATTCTTCACCAATTAGGAGCGCGTCATCCTGTGAACACCGACTGCGTAATGAAATCGTCTATCATTACCGGATGAGGATGACAGAAGAGCACACAAAAATAATAATACTGATAATATTTTCAGATGTAACTTTACATTTCTCGACTGAACAATCCTTTTGCATTCGTCTGGAATACCGATATTTTGCAAAAGTGTTTTGAAAGCAATTGGCGACTCATTGTAAAGACGACCCAGCTCGTAAAGTGGAATGTTGAATAAATCCTGAAGCAGTCACTGATGAGAGACATTCGAGTAACTCGTTCAGAAGCGAGAAATTTTGTTGTTCATTGCTACAGCTTCGCTTTCGAAGCGACGAAAGAAGTCAACAGAACGATTTCCGGAAAATGTTCGATATAATTTTTTAAAGAACGATTCCAAAACTGAAACCTAAAAGTTGGTTTACCAAGATTCTCTCGCCATCCTCACCACACATATAGTTTAGATTTGTTCGGGCACACGAGAAGAAACACTCCAATCCACTGAAACAAAGCCAAGTCAAAATGCTCTCAAGCAAAAAGCCAGGTCGGTATTGGCCTATTGGCACATTGTGTCCAGCAGCACTCACACCAGATCCACTGACTGCCCAAACACATGGATAATCAATTAGAATGTGATAAGCAGAAATAGATTCTCGACGCGACTTATGTAAGTTGATAGGTAAGTTGATAAAGCGTTTGAAGGTTCCAACGAACTCACCTACAGACTGGTTCTGCATCTCGAAGACTCATCAATAGAACATCAATACCAGCACCATTCACTACATTCAAATATTTACTCGTTGTCCAATTGCCCAGACTCCAATAAAGGTAACACGATCGTTCACATTCTGAGACATTCTCACTTATGTTCGCAGAATCATACAGAATTTATCACAAATTCTCTTTCTATCAACAATTCAAACGCACACCTCACAACAATCAGAATTTGTTTCCTGGTCAAAAACCTCAACTGAAAGGTCTGTCATCTACAAAAATGTGGAAACATTTCAATTGTTCACGATCAAATCGCAATGGAACGCTTACAACAATTCTATGAAAACAGTAAATGATAACCTTGCAGTGGCTTATCATTGAACGTGTCAATGCAGTCGAAGGCACTATCAAAATACGATCGCTGTTTACCACAAGCCACCTTAAGCCCACTCGTTATCACTTTGAATAATCCAATATTTGCACCACACTTGTGCTGATCACTTTCAAAACACGATAATGTTGAGGTGTATTCACTTAAAATTGATAATCTTATTTAGCACTGCCTCATTAATTAATTAAGTAATCATGAACTACCATTTCATCATATCTGCTATATAATGCTCGTGTATGATCTTGGACGGTTCAATGGAAAAGATTTGGTTGTGAATTTATGAGGAAATATTTTCCGTCGTATTCTTAAATAGAGTATTCAAATCGTTTAATATCTTAAAATATTTTGAAGAGAATAAATTTGGATTGACTTTCTTAGACACAAGAGTATCCATTCGTTAAGGCGAGATCATTAAGGAGCAATTGTATGCTAGGTGATTATCACTGATAAGATGATCAATGGAAAGCAAGAACTAGTCGCAACTGCGTGAAATTACGATAAGTGAACAACGGCGAATAACAAACATGCATAAATTAGCAAATTGTGCTCGAGTGTTAGCACTTGCACTCATTCCATAAATGGTTTTAATAAACGGCGTAACACATCCATCGAAGCAACCGTTCTCTTCAGAGAATTTCAGCAGCTTGGTCAGACCCTCTGAAAGTGAAATCAATGGCTCGTTTTGAGTAGCCTACAGATGACTTATCAGTTTCCATTAGAGGAAAACTGACAATCACTGAACAATCATTTGTTTGTGAGAATTCGTTTGCTTTGATAATGATTTGTAAATTGTATTAATGATTTCCGGCTTTCGCTAACATGCGGCTTAACATTAATGCGCAACAACTAACTGATGTGATCAACTGGAGCCAAGTTCACAGAACCAATGAACACTGTGATGAGCAAATAGACGACAATGGGCTGGAAATAGTGATGCAACTGTTCTTCCATGGCAATGAGTGATTTCAAACTGAAAA